TTTTTCTCGGTGTTACGTACCTCGCAGGCATACATTTTCTGAATGTGGTAATCGATTACTGATTTGTAACTTTAATTCTGGTACTCACATGCTCTTATTATTGTCTAAACATAATTAAAATTATTTTTTTGTTAAGAATTGTTGCCAGAGGGGACTTGCCAATGTTCTAAGAATAAATATCGAGAATATAATACGATCTACCAGTTTATCCAGGGTAATGAAATATTGCTTAATGTATTATCTTTCGAGTATATATAATACTTTTGCATTATTATCTTATATGTAACTTTATTCTTTGATGGAAAATATAGTTACTGCTAGTGATGATGATTTCGACATGGATACATCCCCAGGGGCCTCATCCATAGATGATGACAGTGATGATGATTATGATATAGATCAGGATTTTGAGTATGATGAAGATGTGGACGATGACGAAGATGACGATGATGATTTGGAAGGTCTTGATGAAGAGGTAGTTAGTGATGGGTGTCCTGATGACTCTGCTGACGAAAGTTCTGATAGGATGGTTATACTTTTGATTCTGATATCGACGAAGATACTGATTATGAACCAGATGTCGATACAAAAAATCAAACGCTGTTCGTCTTGCTTGCCATGTAACCCCTATCAAGTCTGAGAGTCAGTTTCTGGAATATGGTAAAATTCTTCCTGACCCTATTCGCGATGCACCTGTTGAAAATGTTAGGCCTCGGTCGGTTGTTTCCCTTTTACATCCTGGAACGTTTGTGTTTGGACACATGCTACACATTTGAGCGGTAAAAGAATGGAGGTTATTCTGAGTGACGATAAGGTATTGTTCATAACTTCGTAATCTTTATGTTTTCGTTGTTATCATATTTATGCTAATAAATAGTTGTAATTTTTTGATAGGGTGTTTGGATACAAGGCACGATACCCGCTCTGCACTATAACCGTTTCTCTTTACTCTTGAGGGAAGGCATGTAGGTTACTCTACGAAAATTCGTGGTAGTAGATGAAGTTGGAAAATATCATGCTACCACTCATCTTAGTAGAATATTCTTTCTAGACACAACGATTGTCGATGAACAACAGCAAACTTTTTGTGCTAGAATTTTTTTTCATTTTGTTGATTTTTGTATGATCTTAGATCGAGTTTACGATTGATTGTTAAACTCTTATTTGATTATAGTTTGTTTCGATTGTAGAAATGTTCGTTTGAAGTGTGAGTTCATTGATGAGATAGCCGTCGGTTTCTTTAAGGAATGGTTGGACTGTTGTGCTGGTGCTGTTGTCTGTGTTATTCGATGGGGCGTTATCAGTGTTCATGCAGGTATAATGTTGACTTATTTTTTAATGTTTCTTTATATCCATAAATATTTTTTTTCGAGAATAACATTATAGCTCAACACATGTTGTAGGACTTGTGACTATAAAAGCAGTTGGCCCTACACAATTCTTATTGAACCCCTCTATTACAGAGGTCGAGGAATTCAGATCAAAGTGAGTATATCATATAACTTTATGTTGGTCCTCTAATTTTTATGAATTCTATAGCTTATATGTGGCTTACTGATGCTATGTTTATATAATATATTGATATGTAGTTTGCTGAACAAGTAACAGATGAGATGGTGTTTGTCATTGCATGGAGATCTCCGTCACGTAGTGTTTTTGCGTAGCAAATAAAGTAGTTAATTATTTAAAATACATTAATTAGTAGGATTTCTTATCTAGGTTTGGGTATTTTTTCTTTTTCAAGATGTTATTATGCTTTAAGTTCTAAATTTTATAACTATGTTTCGTTATTCATTCTTAATAAAGATATTGAAGTAATGATCATTTTTACGTTTACACATCAGTATCATTTAAACACAAATGTTATAACATAATACACAAGCCATACATGTGACAATAAAATTTACATGTCATTTATAAAAAGAATAACTATTATAAAAATGTATTATCAACTTAAGATAATTTACATGTTGTTCGATTAAATATAATAATCTTAAATTATGAATTTTGTATAAAATAATATGATTAATATATTTGCAGAAACTAAAATGAATATTGCAAACTTTGTCAATTGTATTCGGATAATGAGACGTTAGTAAATTAAAGATTTTTAGCTTAATAAACTATTATTTATCAAATAATAAAACCAAAAATCTGGAGAACCATAACTTATAATTATCTTAAGTATTAAGTAAAAGCATCGAGATAATAGATAATCAAAAATCCAGTAAAATCCTAAACATAATATAGGTAGGTTTATCCTTCTTCTCTTAGGCGTCGGAAGCTTCTATTAATCCTACTGCAATGCATGCATCCGCAAACGTTGGGTATGTAACACCATCTACTGTTCTGATATCTTCGAAGCACGTTGGTCCTTTTCGTACCTGTAGCAGTGTTTTAAGGTAGAAAAGTTCACCACGTTCTTCAGGGACGTCTGGTAGTTGTATATCATAGGGAACATTGTTTCTTCTGTCGCGTTTACGAGGGAGCCACTTTCTAATCCTTTGATGTCAAACCCACTTGGTTGGAAACTCTGTGTAGAGATAACGAGTCACTTCGTAATTCTCACGATTAGCATCCATCCAGCCTTGGAGTTTTGTTTTAGCCATATTCGGCTTATGTAGGTGGATTGGTAGAATTGTCGTCATTCGATATACTCTGAGTTAGGGTTCTGCTTTCTGAAAGACGTGAAGTATTTAGTGGTTTCTTATATAAGCACATGATAGTTGAATTCCTTTATTTACGTTATTTGGGCTGGATACAGAAATTTCATAAATTTTTGGGCTTAACTTTACATAAATATACGCTTTGGTTATATAAATGGCTGTTAGAGGAGAACAGTTTTGTGTGATTTATCGGTAATATAAAGTTAGATTTTAGCTGACATATCAGTATTCATAATGTTGTACATTTTTAAAGTTTATTATATGTTCCCAACATTTACCTCGGTTTTTGCAATTTATATACAATCGATGTTACGAACAAAGTATATCTAAATAATAATATTCTAATGGTCGATAAATCGATGTCTATGCGGAAAACTGTTTCCCCTCTCTTCACTTATTTACTGATAAAGTGACTTGCCATAGTCCTCCGTCGCAAAATTACTTCGTTTTCTTTGAAATTTTTGAATCTAATAGTTGTTTTAAGATGTCGCGGTGCTTAAAAGTCTCTGAAATAGATCATATGGTTGTCGATCCTGCTCTTGATGTTATGCTGCTCAAGAAATGGCATCAGAAAGATATACATCGCCGAAATAAACTAAAGCTGGTATTCGTTGATATTCATGTAAATTTATTGATCAAATCTGTAATTAAATGTTGCTTCTTTTCATATCTCATACGGTTTATACATGTCCTGTTTGAATCTTGCATGATTATCCAGAGGTCTAAGATACAGGCTTCCATTGGACATAAATACATCCATTTATTTGAACATGATCTTATAATAGGTCATTGGAGTCTTCTGAGTGGTTTTGTAGTTAAGACTTCGAATGATATAACTCGTGTAGTAAAGCATCCTTTTAAGGTGAAGTTCATTACCAATACGACGTTTCTTACGGTCAGCGAGTGTATAAATTCTATGTTTTTATCATTCGCTGATTTTGGAGGTGTTCTTGGAGGCCGTCTGGATGACATGTATAGTAACGATAACTTCTTCGTTTATGAATAATAGATCCAATTACCATAAAAGGTGAGAAAGAGTTACTGAAATTTAACTACCTAATTTCTACAGAATTGATAGGTGTTCTTGTGAATGTTGGTGAGCTCGAGATTTTTGATGAGACGAAGATACAAGAAGATTACGCTGTAATTCCTTTCGAGCTTCAAGATGACAGGTAAATGAATTGAATATTCAGCATGAACAATAACAATGTATCTCATTGTTTGAACATTTTATTGACTAGAAAATGTGTGATCGAGTGTTATGCGATGGGGAAATTGGCTGAAGATTTGCATTGCAATGGAAAAAAAGTCACAGTGTAGAAGTTATCTGTATCCTGAGGTGGTGGACTATCAATAAAAATTATGACGATATTGCTTTATTACAGACAGTTGGTACTGTTCACTTATTACAACAGAGTACTCTTCAGTGAATTACTGTATTAAATCTTTGTCATAGGTACTTTTAATGTCATCGCAAGAAAGAAGTATTGTGAATTTATTTTCAATGCAGACATTTCAGATGTTCATCGGTTTCGTGATAGGTAATATTACTATATTCAGAAATTTTAATTAGATTACCTAATGTATCTTTAGTAATATAATGAATCTAATTGCATGTTACAATGTGACGAAGAGGTTTCACTGCAAGGTGTGTTTCGAGATATCCATCGACAGAGAATCTATGACTCGTGGAAAAGAATGGTTTAACTTTATATGTTAGTTTGAGTGTGTTTTTCTTGGTGGATTTATTATGTTTTTTTTGCTTGCTTCTACATTTGAACAAAAGAATTGGAAATGGTAATGTCTATTCCCAAAAATTACATTTGGATTTTAATGCATGAAACAAGTTATTAGCTTATTTATTAATTTTTACTTGATTGAGTTGGAAATAAGCAACATAGTGGTTACGGTTTGGACCAACTAAAATTCGTAACAACTACATCAGCCCAGTAATAAAAATCAAAGAATTTTCAAGTTCTAAAAATCAATATGAAACGTTACTATTATAATTTCTGAATTTTAATGGCTAAATTCTATCTTGAAGAATGCGAACTGTCACGAATAACAAAAACTCTGAACCGTTTGATTCTTTTTATTTATTCTATACATGCACAATAATTTAATCACAAAAATATATTTTTTCCAAATTTTTATCAAAAATTTGAATACTTCAATTTTGCATTAAAATTTTAACATCAAATTTTATTTATTGATTAAATAATACCATATCACAAGTCATATGTACTAAAAACTAACATGTCACAATTACATCATCATTACACATCATCATTTTCATGTCACATTAAAATTGTTCAAACTAAGCATATTAACCAATCAAATTAAAATAAATCAGCATTTTTCATTAAAATACATTCTCAATTAATAATTAATAGATAGAGGATAGCTAAATTTCTCTTTTAAATGTGTTGATAAACAAACTTAATAAATATTCATTATTCGCGCCATGGGCAAGCCACCACCTAGTATCATCTTATAACAACGTCAGCGAATAAATAAAATAAAAACAAAACCAAACATCGCACTCCAAATATTAATACAATTAAAAAAACAGAAATACAATAATAGTATCATCGTCAGAAATCACTGACTAAGTTTCATTTCTCGACCTCAGCCTCACCGGAGAGTTCTTCAAGGGACTTACCCTTTGGCTCCGGAACAAGGAAGGTGAAGAGCATACCAACAAAGTTAATGACACCAAGCATGATCAATGAGTTCTTGACTCCAATACCCGGTGGGTATCCTGCGTCTGTCTTGTTCTTGTCTTGTGACTGAGCGGCGTAAAGGAACCCGAAAGCCCCCACGATGGCTCCAGCCTTACCTGTCGCGGCTGATATTCCGTGGCATGTAGACCTTAGCCTGGCCGGGAAGATCTCAGCCGGTACAATGAAAGTTGTTGCGTTTGGTCCAAAGTTGGCAAAGAAAAAAGTGAGAGAGTACATAACCACAAATCCGATACGATTGTCCGGTTTGATCCAGTGGTCGTAAGGGAAGGCAATGGCGAACATAAAGACGGTCATCATGAAGAATCCCATCAGCTGGATGGCAAATCTTCCGATGATATCAATAAACGCGACCGTGAACCAATATCCAGGGACGGTACTGCATAGTGCAATGAGAGTTTGAGCCCTAGCAATCTTGAAAACCTCATGGATGGCGTTCATGGTGGCTGCTTTTGGGATCCATCCGATAGCCGAAAAGATATCCTTTTGGAACAAGTTTTGGCTGTAGAAGGCAATGTCAAGCAAGAACCAAGTAGTAGTACAACCGAGCAGGGGAAGACCATGACGTCTAAGGAATTCCTTGGAGAACAATCCATAGTTAAGTCTTGGGTCTTTAGCCTCCGTCCTCTCTTCCATCTCAAGCTCCACTTGTAAGACCTTGGACATGTCTTGTGTGGCTTGTTTGATGTTCTTGGCCACTAAAGCGGTGTACCTAGCGGTTTCGGGCATCTTCATACGCCAGTAGTAAGTCAAAGCTGCGGGTAAAGCACCAAACATGACAATGATACGCCAAATGTAATCAGCTTGTGGAGGCGTTGAGAGGAACCTATCTTCCGCATAGGTCGGCGACGGGAACTTTTTGTCGAATATGGAAGAAACTGCAAGTCCCACGAAACCTCCTGCCAAGATACCGACACCTTGCATAGCGAACACAGCCGCGATGAAAGCACCACGGGTCTTCTTGTTAGCGTATTCAGACATGATGGTGGCAGAAAGAGGGTAGTCACCTCCAATACCGAACCCGAGCCAAAACCTATATATAACCGTCGATATATTAAAATTATATTTTGGTAACCAAGTCAAAATTAAAAATGGCTAAGAATAATTTGTACCTGAAGAAGCAAAGAGTAGTCATGACACCCTTGGCTTGGTTGCCAAAGGAGAGACCGGAAGCGACAGAGCACAAGATCATCATAATCAAAGTAAGACCATACACTTTTTTCCTTCCTAACTTGTCACCGAGCCATCCGAAGAAGAGCTGACCAGCAAGGGTTCCACAGAGGGCCACACCGTTGACCGCAGCCGCAACATGAGGGGGAAGTGAGCCAGGCTTTTCTGATAACGGATTGAAGTAGTAGATGCGGCCAAGGAGCTTTGTCACCAAAGAAACGCAAAAGAGATCGTAGGCATCGGTAAAGAAGCCCATACCGGCGATGACAATCGCCGTGAAATGGTAAAGTTGCGTCTTCGCAACATCAAGTGCCTTCAACACTCCTAGTTGTTGTTCAGCCATCGCCTTGAGCTCTATAATCAAACAAGTCAAAGAATCGAAGATTCTATGTCATTAATTTTCGTATAGTATCAAGGAACAGAACATTTGACCTTTTTGTATGGCCAATATCTCGTACAAGATCAAAAACCGAAAAAAAATTCTTATCCTAATATATCTTTGAAAATAAGAAAGAAAACCAACATGATAAGATATAAACGAAGTTCAACGAAGGAAAGTTATATTCACCTTAATCAGCTTTGAAGGAGATTAAGAGGAGAGACTGAGAGAGAGAAGATAAATGGTGATCTGCAATGAACAATTATTGTGGCAATTTATAAAGAATAAAGAGAAAGGGTTTTCTAAAATAAGAAAGAGATGTGACCAACGTGATCGCCTGCTTCTTCATGATTATTTATTTAGCAAGTAATCCATTTGGGTTTTAGTCAATATTTGATAGTTTTGGTTAGCCGCAAAACAAAAGATTTTGTTATTTTATTATATAAAATTGAATGTGTTTCAATTATTTTTGTATCTGGTGTAACAATGCCATTGATATAATCTGAAGATAAAAATAAGATTTTCACAAAAAATAAAATAATAATAATAATAATATAGTATTGTATTATATTATACTAGATTAGAACCCGCATATATGCGAGTTTATAATAACACAATTTTAAATTCATTAAAATAATTTAAAAAGTATAGAAAATAAAATAAGATTATTGATAAAAAAAATATATTAAAAAAGTAAAATCAAAATTTAAGAATTGTTTATTTTAATTTTTGTTTTTTAATTAAAATATTTAAAACATAGAGTTGGTTACGGATCTTTACCAAAATTAACCCTACTTTACTTGTAGATTTGTAGTTCAACATTTTATCAACTTTTTTTTTTCTGTTTCGCTGCATTGAAACTTGTGTATGCAATTCGAGTTTTTTGATTATGTTAACTTCTCTCCATTAACTCTTTTCAAGCAAACAAAGTTTTTCTTTCTCTCCACATGCATCTTTCGTATATGATTTCTTTGCTTTCTAGATAAATTATGCTTCTCAAAACTTGTGTTAAAAATTTTTTTTACATGATTTTATTGATCATCCTTGTCAGATTAAGGCTCAATGGCAGAAAATGTGGGCAAGATAGAAAAAATGAGAGAGAGGAAAGAGAAAAAGAGCTCATGAACTGCGCTATAGCAAAGAAGGAGAAGTCTAGTCACAATCCTTCTCATCACCTCTATGGTCCACCAAACAGTATCTCGATGTTGGGACTTACTCAGTGGTCCATCAAGAGATTGTTATCCGAGGTAAACGATTTTCCAATCCCTCACCTCACTTGGCAAGATAGACTTCCGACCCCCTTCTTATGCCGACTCCCGGTTTTCGAATCACCACAAATATCATAAGAATATTCACAATTTACAGTTGTGATATTCCATCTCGTATACCTAACTCAAACCATATCTTCTTGAGTATCTATTTTCAGTTGTGCATATTTTATTTAAGCGTCAGAGAATTTTCGGAAGGAAAACCTCTTTCCTATCCTCCTGGAAGCTGCCTCATCTGTTGCTAAGTGGTTTTAGGTTTCGGATAGCGGGCACGATGATGTACCCAAGTACCACTCATTCTCATAGTGGACGAATTCGTGAAAACGAAGTTGATCTGCACTTAAGAACACACACATCTTATTTATTTTGTTGATAAAAAACATAACTACAAAACTGTCATTACTATTATCTGCTACATAGGCAAGGAGAAGTTTACCAAATTATGAAACTCTAGCCTAATTACGTTAGAATTAAGAATACTCTGTAGTTTTTTTTGCAGTTCGTAGATTTAGTTAACTAATGGTAGATTTAGTAAAAATCTGTAGACTTAATTGATATACTTATGTTTATGAGGTAGTAGAGATATTATGAAATGATAGATTTTTGATTAGATTGATAGATTTAATATTAATGAGGACAGATTTATATCTGACTGATAGATTTAAACCAAAAATGTTGATTTTATAGTAGCTTTAATATAAAATTTGTAGATTTTTGTTTTGTTTTTGATGGTAGTTTAATTATGAATTCATAGATTTAATATTTGTGATGGTAGAATTATCAGCAATGAATGATGATGTGTGCGATGTCGGATTTATATTATTTAATGGTAGTTTTATATTGGCGTAGCATATTTATTATTAATGACAGTAGAGTTATTGATTCGTTGTGTTATATTATATGTACATTTCTCAGAGCATATTTATTCATTGTGTTAGTAGTTTTGTTAAACATTAACATGTTACTAATAATGGTGATAAATCTATACAATATTTTGTAATTACTCAAATAATTTTCAATCAGTAGATTTACTGTTGCATGTCGTAGCAAAGTTTCATATTTAATATTATAAATTTATTTTATCCAAAATGAAAAAAATAATATTATTATTAAATTGATTGCATATGATCTTACTTATGGTTTCCATAAGTGATATCTGTAAGGATACATCATATCCTCTGAATTAATATGACAATATACACTTTCTGTAATTACATGATCCTAGGGTATTCGCTACTCATGTATATATACATTACTCAGTCTATCAATACATAATGAGAATCACCATTTACATGGTATTAGAGCAGATTACGATACCTTAATTTTCTTTTCTTTCCTTTGCTGAGTCTTAGCTCTTCTTCTCAGTTTCACCATCCATCCATATCTCTCTGATTCTCCGCTTAACATGTCGACGACTTCCTCTGACACCGTCAATATCACCCCAAATGCACTTCTCAACGTCAACATGTCCAACGTGACGAAACTTTCCACCTCAAACTACATGATGTGGAGCTTCCAAGTGCATGCTCTCCTTGATGGCTACGAATTAGCTCATCACCTTAACGGAACTTTCCCAATACCGCCTACCACGGTCATGGTCAACAACACTACAGCAGCAAATCCAGCCTTCAATCTCTGGAAACGCCAGGATAGGCTTATATACAGCGGACTCCTCGGTGCCATTTCAGTCTTGGTGCAACCTCTTGTCTCCACCTCCACTATAGCTGCAGACATATGGAAAAATCTTGCGGCAACCTATGTCAAACCAAGTCAAGGACACATACAACAACTCAAGCTTCAGATTAAGCAATGGTCTAAAGGTACTAAAACAGTTGATGAATATGTCCAAGGGCTTACATTAAGGTTCGATCAATTGGCGCTTCTTGGGAAGCCAATCGAGCTTGAGGATCAAATTGAATACCTCCTTGAAGGCTTATCAGAAGAATACAATATCGTCGTTGACCAACTCGAGGGCTGTGATGAAACTCCTTCCCTCACGGAAGATCGTGAGAAGCTTTTCAACAAAGAGGCAAAGCTCCTAATTATATCGTCTGCGTCTCTCACCTCAGCGCCAATAACTGCCAATGCTGCAACCAGCAAATATCAAGGGCGTCAACAACAATCATTCAATCCAAAACACAAGTCAGGGGACCAATGGAACCGGAACTCCAACAACAATCAATACAATAATTCAAAATATAACCGGAACTCATGTGGTTATCAAAGTAGGTACCAAGGGAAGTGCCAACTCGGTGGAGTTTATGGACACAGCGCCAAGAGATGCTCACAGCTCAGCAGTCATGTTTCAACAACAAGCAACGACTCTGCCAGCAATTCGTATCCCCCTTGGCAACCCCGAGCTGATCTGGCCCTAGAGGGAAACACACAAGATGCATCATGGCTCATGGATAGAGGAGCAAATCATCACATAACAAGTGATCTTCATCAACCATACCAAGGACGAGAAGCGGTACTTATCGGAGATGGTTCTGGCCTCAACATAACACACACTGGTTTTGTCTCTTGATAGTGCGGATTTGGTCTCACTAGATCAAATGTCCTGCCTCTAATCAGTTGTAGAATAGGGATCATGTATCAATCCATTTGTGGGAGATGAGAAGCAAACAATGCCATAAGCTAAGCAATGATGGATTTTGATTGAACAAGGACAACTCTATCAACCTAGCAATGCCATGGAAATAAAGCATAAACTAAATGCAAGTGAACAAAACTAAGCAACGAACTTAAAGCAATGACTAAACAAGAACTAAGCAATAATGACTACTAAAGCAAGAACTAAGCAAGATGATCTTAAAGACTATTAATTAAAAGCAAGACTCAGAGTTCTAAGAAATTGTGGGATAGTGGTTTTCAAGGGTGAAAATGGGGATTTCTAACAAAGGCAAACATCAAGCATTCAAAGGCAAGCAATTCTCAATGTTGTACTCCTAGACAAGGTATCTAAAAGGAACCAGCTTGGCGTCAATAAGCAGTTCATATTCAACAAAATTGAAGTGTCAGACCCACTTGTGATGGCGTATTCTTCAACTATGAGCATAAAGATCAGAACCATTCTAGCCTAAGAGATGTACTAATCAAGCAATCATTCTCTCACCCAAGCAAGAATTCAGATCAACTTATCAATCTTGTGAACCAATAAGGACCTAGTTAACTAAACACCAATTAAGAACATGGGGTTAAGCACACATATGCAACATCCTAACAATACTAAGCAATGAACATAAATGAAACAAAGGCAAGATCTTTTGATGCATACTATATAACCATCAAGCAAGAATCTCAAAACCAGCATTATCTTGCCCTAAGCGAATCATCTAGCAATGGTGAACTATCACTTGGGTGTCACTGAACAAATAAAACATAGATCAAGCCAAACTATCACGCCAAATAAGCGAACCATACTTAGAGATGAGATAACAAGTCATTTGGTGAACCATATGCATCAATCAATACCATATTCAATCAAAAGGAGCAAGCTTTATGAACACTAACCACTTTGCAAGAGGAAGGAGACAACAGAGAATAGTTAAATACGCCTAATCATCCCTTAATCATATCTTAATCACCACTTTTCCTACTTAGAACCCTAAATCTGAAGTAAACTACTCATTAATCATGTTTAATCCCATTGATTTGGAGTTAAACATAACTAGATGAGGTTAAAATTCAAAGATGATAAATCTAAACTACCACGGTGCAAGAACAAAGATTAAGAGACAAGATTAAACCATAAAAATGCAAACTTTATTAAAGATTAAGATCCTTAAGGCAAATCGCCCTTTAAGGTTTAGAGAAGAGAGATTTTTTGATAGAAAGCTAAACTTCCATCAAGATAATGTTTTGTGGCTTCCCTTTTATAGTAGGGAGCCAAAAGAAGCATAAAAAACCTAAAAAGATAGGATAAGGTTAACAAAAGTCAAGTGGTCAACGCGGATAAGTTGCATCAAGGTTGTACAAACGATGTTCTGCTCGATATGCGACCTCGATATGGTCCGTGCAGCGTGTATCGACTTCCTTCCTCAATGCTGGTCCTCGATGCAGACCAACGGCTTGGAATCCTCGTGCTGATCCTCTTTTTCTCATCCTGCTGCTTGCATCGAGC